TCCTCGCGCAGAGGCTTCGGCGGGCCGTGGCAGCGACGGGCCTTCGACCGCTCGCGCGCCGCGGGCGGCCCCTGGGCCTTGCCGCGGGAACGCCTCCCGGGCCTTCCCTTTCTGGCGCGCGAGGCGGCAGCGGGCCCAGACGCGGCCCTGCGCCCGCGCTCCGCGCCGGCGCCGAAACGCTTCCGCCGCCGGGCCCCAGCTGCGCGCCAGGGCGCGGCGGCCTGAGGTGAGCCCGCGCACGTGGGGCTGGCTGCCGCGGCTCGCGCAAGCGCGGCGGCGGCGCCCCCTGCGCCCCGCGGGCACCCCCGCTCCGCCCCGCCGGCGCCGCGCGCCGCGGCTGGCGGGCCGCGGGGCCGCGCGGGCGCCGGGGGCCGCGAGTCGAAGCGCGCTTGGGGGGGGGGGCTCGCTCAGAGCAGCCGTCCAATCCCACGAGCAGCTCGCGTCGAGGTCCCTGGCGCGAGCCTGCCCCCATCGCCCCCGCCGCGGGCCGCCGGGCCGCTGGCCGGGGCGGGGCGGGGCGGGCGCTCGCCGCTCCCGAGGCGCCCGAGCGGCGCGCCCTCGGCCCCGGCCCTCCCGGCGTGCGGCGCGGGCGCTCCGGGCGCCGCGCCGCCGACGGCCGAGCCGCAGGTCGCTCGCTTCTTCGGCGGGCGCGCCCCGCTCCAGCGAGGCTGTCTCGGCCCCGCAGGGGGGGGGTCGCCGTCGAAGCGGGTGCCGGGGCGTCTCCGGGCGCGGCGCCCGCGGCGGCGGCCTCGCCGAAGAATGCGGGCTCGCGCCCGCGCCCTTCGCCCGCGCGCCGGGCGCCTCCCCGCGGCGGCGAGCCCTGCCCCGGTTCTCTTCTCCCTGGCGGCCATCGGAGCTTAAGTCTGGACGCCCGACATGGGCACTGAAAGAATGGGTACAATGCCCAACAGCAGTTCCTGTTCATTTTGAACAGGGCTCGCTGTCTGCGCCGCCGCGGCCTGTGTCCATTCGAGACAGAAGGCCGCCTGTCCAACAGTGGCCGCTGTTGGTTTGGGACAACATTTGATGTTGGGCATTGTACCCATTCTTTCGGTACCCATTTTGGGTGTCCAAATTAAGGGGCGGGGGTCCATGCAAACGGGGGCCAGCCAGAGCGCCGGATCCCGCAGGATCTCGCGAAGACCTCCTCTGGCTGACGCGGGTCAGCGAGCCGCTCGCGGCCGCGAGGCGGCCGCGCATATCGGCTGGCCCGGGTTTGCGAGGCCCTGCGTTGCAGCTTTTCTTTTCTCGCATTGCAGTTGTTTGGTTTCTTGTTGGCCTGGGTCTGATTGACCCGGGCTAGCAGATCCCCGAGGCCAGGGCTCGCGCCGCCTGGCCGCCCGGCGATCCGCCCGAGGCTCAGCCGATGGAGCCGGCGCCGCCGTCGGGCGCGGCGGGCGCGGTGGTCTGGCGCCGGGAGGCGGCGGGCGAGCCTCTGGCGGTCGCCCGCTGGTTGCCGGACTGGGGCGACTTGTTTCGGGGCGCCATATCGCGGCTCCGCTGGTTCGCGCCAGAGGGGCGCGACGCAGTTGAGAGTTCCTCCGGCCTGCGCAGCTTCCGCCGCGCCGCCCAGACCCGCCGCCGCCGGTTTCAGACCGGCGGCGCGCGCCCCGTGGAGGGCCCCGACGAGCTGCTCGCCACAGGCGCCGCTGTCCCCGCTGGTCGTTTGAAGCGACAGGACCTCGCCCCCCCCTCTTTCAAGGAACAACCCGCCCTTCCCGGTTTAGTTTCGCGCGCGCGGCGCGCTTCGCCGCTGCGAACGACCGGCGCGTCTCTCCCGTCTTTGAAGTCGGCCCCTCTGCGTGGCCAACACACTCACTGCGGCCGCCCGCCATTGCCTTGTCATTGCGCGCCTGGGCATGGCTGCCGGTGTCCCTCGGTGCCCAGGGCCTCCTCTTCTCCTGATCGGCGCCGTTCGGCTCGCGCGCGCGCTCGGGGGCCCGCCCGTTCCGGGCCCCCCTCGCGCGCGTCGGCCGCGGCATCCGCCCCAGCGCCGATCGCGAGCGCGGGAGCGGGATACTGCTCTCTCTGATCGTTCCTGCTCCGCGCGCCCCTCGGTGCTCCGCAGGGCCTCGGCTCCCCGCAATCGCTCCTCCCACTCCCTTTCAAAGAGGCTAGCCTTAAGTCGGGCCTGTCCCCCTACAGGGGGATTTCCGACGAAAAATAAGACATACCCCACAAATAATCGAAAAAGTAAACAAACAATAGTCCAGGGACTATTGTTTGTTTGTTTGTTTGTTTGTTTGTTTTTTTGTTTTAGCATTTTTCTGGGCCATTTTGGCATTTTTGTAGTATTTTTAATTTTTCGTTGAAGATTCCCCTGTAGGGGAACACGCCCGTCATGACGCTAGCCGCGCTGCTTCTGGCGCCCCCTCGGCACCCAGGAATTCCTTTGTCACCTGCGCGGCGCCGCTCGGCCCGCGCGCGGCCTGGGGGGCCCGCCCGCTCTCTAAGAGGCCCCCCCTCGCCCGCGTCGGCCGCGGCCTCCGCCGGAGCGTGGATCGCTCTCGCGGGAGCGAGATCATTTGTTTTGTCCTCCTCCACATCCCCGCGCGCCCCATCCCCTCCCTCGCGCGCCCCGCCCTCGAGATAATGTGTTCTGTCCTCCCTCGCGCGCCCCTCCCCTTTCCCCCCGGCGCCGCCCCCCCCCCCCCTCCCCTCCGTGCTCTTACGTACCCCCCCTGCCTCGAGGAGGGCGGTCGGGTCCGCCGCCCAGGCCTAGCCGAGGATGAGATGGCTCGCCACGTTGTGCCTACGTCCCGCAGACATCGGCCTCGACGTTTTACGCGGTCATCCCATCTTGCGGCCAGGCCCAGATGCAAGGTCGAGAGGTGGACTCGGGGAGGGTGCCCTCGCACGTTCTTCAGCTTGGCCCGCGGAAGGTCTTATGTTCTTGGAGGATGTTCTTCTGTCCCAAATTCGGCTGTATCTTCTGGGATTTTCTCAGAGAGGCGGGGCCCAAGTTTTTTGTTGAGGGCCGCCCCCACGGCTCGATTTGCGCGGGGCCGGCGAAATCATTACTCCAGATTTCGTAATAAAGGGAGGGGGGTCTCATTTCGGGGGGGGTCTTTTCCAAGCTGTCTTGGAGGGCCTGGGGGGGTCTGGGGACGATGTTTTGGAGGGTTCTCCCACGGGGGAGGTCTGAAATGGCTTGTCTTGGAGGGTCCAGACCCCCTCCCTTTTATTACGAAATCTGGAGTATGCGATGGTAACGAGGTCGCGGAGGGCTGGCGAATTAAGCACTTGAGGATGTCCCGAGCGAGCGGCTGTTTTTTTTGAAATTCCGATCGATAAAACACATGGTGAAGTACACATTCTTCTGTTGCGGATGTCTCGAGCGAAACGCTTGTTTTGCTGAACATGTTGAGAATTGATCGGGCGAGACGCGTGTTCGTTGTTACCGAATGTTCCTTTCTCGGGGGCCAGAATTCAGAGGATGTCCCAGGTATAATGTTTGTTTTCACGCGCCCAGGTCTTGAGGATGTCTCGAGCGAAACGCTTGGTTTCACGCGGCCAGGCTACCCAGGGAGATGTCCAGCATGAGGGTTTTCCAAACATGTCTCGAGCGAGACGCTTGTTTTCACGCGTCCAGGTCGCCCAGGCAGGTGTTTGGCATGAGGAGTTGTTGATGTTGTCTCGAGCGAGACGCGTGTTTTCACGCGTCCAGGCCGCCCAGGCGGATGTCTAATATGAGGATGTGTTGAGAACGTTTCGGGCGAAACACCTGTTTGCACCTGCACAGGTCGCCCAGGCGGATGTCTAAGGTGATGATGTGTTGAGGATGTATCGAGCGAGACGCTTGCTTTCATGTGTCCAGGTCGCCCAGTCGGATGTCCAGCATGAGGAGATGTCGAGCAGGTCTCGAGCGAAACGAAGGTTTTCACGTGTCCAGGTCACACAAACGGATTTCTAACATGAAAACGTGTTGCGGATGTCTCGAGCGAACCGTTTGTTGTCACGTGTCCAGGTCGCCCAGGCGGATGTCTAGCATGAGGAGGTCATGAGAACGTTTCGAGCGAGACGCTTGGTTTTCACGTGCCCAGGTCGCCCAGGCGGATGTCTAACATGAGGATGTGTTGAGCGTCTCGGGCGAGATGCTTGGTTTCACGCGCCCAGGTCGCCCAGGCGGATGTCTAGATACTGAGGATGTCTCGAGCGAAACGCTTGTCGCAGTAGAGCGTATCACAGTCCATCCCCGCCCGTCCGTGGGGTGTCCCCTGGCGCGCTGGCGCGTTCCCTCGCGCGTCCTTTGCGACGTTCTGGCGTGACGTGCCTTGGCACGCCCCCTAGCACGCCACTCGGCGTGGCACGTTCCCTGGCCCGTCCTCTGTCGCGTTTCCTGACTCCTCCCCAGGCGTTTCCCCTGCCCGCTCCGTGGCTTGCAACGTCCCTTGACATGACGCCCTCTGGCCGTCCCATACGCGCCTTGGCACGTCCTGTGGCAGGTTCCTGAGACGTTCAGGGCACATACCCTGATACGTCCCCTGACACGTCCCCTGGCGCATCCCCTACTGCGCCCCTGGCACATCCTGTGACGCGTCCGTGAGCCTGTGCCCCGTGTCGTGTCGTTCCGTTTCGGAGCTGAGTCGGATTTGGAGGTCGAGTTGATTGAACGGCCCGCGCGTTTCCGTTTCAATTAGCTTTGGGGCAGCGACTATGTGCTCAGGCAGCTCGAGCTTCAGATCCAGATCAGTTCTGTCAGGGCTCGGATGCAAAGGAGGATTTAATTTACAACGCTATAGAGCACAATCGCGGCATGGCACATCGCAATTCAGCACGGCGCAGCACAGCACAGCCTTCGGCATAGTATATCAAGATCGATAGAACTCAGCATTGCAATTGCCCGTCGCCCAAAAACGTTGCCATGCCTCACATGTCTATATTCCTTTCTGGGTTCGTGGGTCGATCATGTGTTCCCTCCTCATGCCTGCTCCTCCTCCACCTGCTCCAGTCCCCCCGCCCCTCGCCCTGGCCGCGGTGCAAAGCAGCGCGGCCATCAGCCGGACCCGGAGAAGCTGAAGGCCATTGTCAGCGGCATCATCCGCAAGCGCTGGAGCCGAGCGGGCAACGCCGTAAGGTTCCCGGATGCAGTGCGTCCAGTCTTTCAGATGAGGGAAAGGTGCCGCTACCCTCGGCTCGTTTTCGCCATTTTTAGCTTCTTGGGGGGCCCTCGTCGCCACCGCTGGATTTGCCTTTTAATTTCTGCCAGAACGCACCCTGGGAGAGGTCTTGGAAGCTGCAGTATCGGTACTTTTTTAGTTTCTCCAAGCTGGTCTTCCCCAGGAGGAGCGGACCTAGGACATGGATAAACCATCCCACAGCGTTCCGGAACGCTTTCAAAGCGCTCTGGAACGGCCGCGGCGCCCGGTACGTCTTCCAAAAACCCGCCGTACCACAGAGATCCCCGATTTGTCACCGTGCCTGTTCCTTCCCCGGCTTCGTCTTAGAGGAGGGGGGAGGGATCAGGGGCAACGGGGGGGGGGGATAGGCTCAGGGAGCGATGCGTCGAGCCCCGATTGCTTACTCATCGCCGATGGGGGCCCGATGCCTTGTCCATGCAAGATCGATGTTTTCCCCCCAGAGGCCGTCTCTCCCTGACGCTTAAGTCGGGCATGCCCCTCTACAGGAGGAATATTCGAACATAGTCCAGAACATAGTAGTCTGGGGACGATATTTCGATTACTTTTGACGATGTCCGTATGTATTGATCATTGTTTCGTTTCTTCCAAAATCCACCTGCAGGAAGGCGTGCCAGACCTGACTTTCTGCTGCCTTCTAGAGGAGGATCGGGTCGGACGAAAGGGGGTATACGGCAGAGGGAAACAATGACTGAACACTCCCCCTCCCCCCCAAAACGCAAGGCTGGCACGCGCGGGGGAGGCTGCGGTCGAGGTGCAGCTCGCCAAACCCACCGCCAACTCTGAAAATTGGGGGGAGGGGGAGGCGTTGACAGATGAATGTGGTATGGTGATCTTTGTTTGATTCAGTGTTTGGCAGATCGGCGCGGCCCCCTCCCCCCCCCTCCCCCCCTCCCCTATGGAGTACAGTCGGGGCGTTGACCTAAGGAACCCTAAATAAGGAACGAGGCCCCTTTTTTTGCATAAATTCAACTTCGGTTTCCTCTCGAAAACATAAGGAAAGCCTGAGGCAAGATGTGACACACTTCAGGAGCGCGGAGCCCCTCCCCAACGAAAAGGGTTCCTTCTTCAGGGCCCCGACTGTAGATCTTGGCTGTTTTTGGCGCCTGTCTCGAGCAGGTGGAGACTCCCCGTCGGACGCACGGTTCCAAACGGTCGCATTAAGCAGAGGTGTCCGGGGCCAGATCCACCCCTCCTCCCCACCCCTTCCGCCCGATGTCGAAACGCCGAAAAACAAAAAAAACGCTCACGTGAGTGTTTGCTAGTTTTCTTCCCGAGGCCCGTATCGGGTTGACCCAAAAGGGGGTCCAGCGACAAGGGGGTGGTGCAATAGATTTGGCGCAATCGATTTGTGGTGTTGCAACACAACTAGGGCGTGCAATACATTCCCGGGCGCACATGTATTGATTGACTTTCGAGTGCAGTACATTGCTCGCAATCCGATGCAATACAACTCTCCGGCGCAGTACACTTGCAGTACGCTTGCCCAAAATCTATTGCACCACCCTTTTTCAGCCGGACCCCCTTGCGGGGTCACCCAAAAGGATGGGGGGGGGGTGGGGGGGTTAGGAGGCCACATGCGAACCCTACCCCTACCCTCCACGATTTCTGAGGGGGAGGGTGGGGTTCACTCCGTTTGGCAGCTCGCGAACGAAGTGAACCCCACCCTCCCCCTCGGAAATCGTGGGGGGTAGGGGCAGGGTTCGCATGTGGCCCCCTAGGGGTGCACCCACCTGCATGTGTAGCTCGCATCGGCCCCGCCGCGGGGCGCGCCGTGCCTCGGTGCAGTGGGCGCCAGGGAGAGCAGCCGCGCGCGCTGCTTCGCGGACCTGCCCTCGGGCACGTTCCTCTCTACAGGAGGGAATCTTCAAAAATGATCCGAGAATCGTCTGGGAACGATTGCTCGATCATCTGTGTGACAATGCTTCGGCATGCCCTGACTTTTTTTTGTAATTCTTCGTCCCGGGTCCGCCTGCAGGAAGACGCACCCGATCTGACCGTACGCTGCCTGTGGGCGGAGGATCGGGCCCGACGGAAGGGGGGGGATAGGAAAGGGGGGGGGGCCGCATCTGCTGCGCGTGTAGCTCGCTTCGGCCCCGCCGCGGGGCGCCCTTCCCTCGATGCATGTGCGCCTGGGAGGGCAGCCACGTGCGCTGACTCGCTAACCTAACTCGGGCACGTCCCTCTACAGGAGGGGGGCGATCCCAAACAGTCAAAATATATCACTGGGGACGATCTGGGGACGTTTTTGGTGTACGTGTTGACTGTTTCTTACCTGTCGTCCAAAATCACACTGTAGGGGGGGAGGGGCCCGACCTCACGCCAGGACCCCCTTCCCTCTCGCGAGCCCCCCCTCCTCGTCCTGCCCGAGAGGATTCACTAACCTAACTCGGGCATGTCCCTCTACAGGAGGGGTATTCCAAAAGAGTCAAGCTATAGTATCGGGGACGATTCGGGGACCTTTTGGAAGTACGTGTCGACTATTTGTCACCTGTCGTCCAAAATCACCCGGTAGGGGGGAGGAGCCCGACCTCACGCCACGACCCCCTTCCCTCTCGCGAGCCTTATGTCGGGCGTGTCCCCCTACAGGGGGATTTTCGACGAAAAATGAAAAATACCTCAAACATACCCCAAAAAGGCAAAACAAGATTTACAAAAGAATCCCCAGACTAATATTGGACTGTTTATTATCATTTTTGGTGTATTTTTTATTTTTCGTCGAAAATTCCCCTGTAGGGGGACATTCCCGACTTAACGCGAGCCCCCCCTCCCCTCGTCCTGCCCGAGGGAAGTAGGAGCAGCCCCAGCCTTCCACCTGGGGATCGGGCAGGTGGGGCCGGAGGATCGCGTCGCAGGGCCGATGCGGCGGCGATGCGAATCGGCGTGGGCGATGGGCCCGTTCTCCACCACCACCACCACAAGTTGGAGGGGAGGAGGAGGAGGAGGAGGAGGAGGAGGAGGAGGAGGAGGAGGAGGAGGAGGAGGAGGAGGAGGAAGAGGAGGAGGAGGAGGGGGAGGGGGGGAGGGGGAGGAGGGGGAGGAGGGGGAGGGGGGGAGGGGGAGGGGGGGAGGAGGAGGAGGAGGAGGAGGAGAGGGAGGAGGAGAAGGAGGAGGAAGACCCCCTCACCCTCCAACTTAGTTATGGGGGTGGTGGTGGAAAACAAGCCCATCAGTGGAGCCCGAGTCTCTCCACGCCGACGGCGCCGATGCATGGCCGATGTGCATCGGCGCCGTCGGCGTGGAGCAGCGCGGGCGGTGGTCCCCCCCCCTCGCCCCCCACGCGGCTGGCCGTGCAGCGGCTGCTCTGGGCCCGTTCCGCCAGTGTGCCTTGGTGGGCTTGTTTTCCACCACCACCACCACCATCAGTTGGAGGGGGAGGGGGTCCTTCCCCTCCTCTGCCTCGTCCTCCTCCTCCTCCTCCTCCTCCTCCTCCACCTCCTTCCCCCCTCCAACCCATGGTGGTGGTGGTGGTGGTGGAGAACAGGCCCATCAAGTGTGCTTGGGTGATCGACCCTTGTGTTACGTCGGGCGTGTCCCTCCACAGGAGGAATATTCAAAGACAGTGAAACAAACAGTCTGGGGACGATTGTCTGACTATTTTTGGACTTTTCTTGCATCTGTTTTGAACAATTCAGTATTTTTCGTCCAAAATCCGCCTTCAGGGGGACATGCCCGACCTTACCCTTGGGGTCTGTCAGGGGGTGCCCGTCGGAGTGGCCTGGATCAGAAGAGAATGTACCGATACCGCTGCTCGTCATGGAGAGCCTTCGTCGCCACGGCCAGCTTCTTGTCCAAATTCTGGCCAGAGCGTACCCCAGGAGAGGTCCGGGGAGCACAGTCAACCCGCACAGTAAGGATAGCAATGTTCCAAGGTTTCCCTTGCATCCTTCCCTTCGGCCCGTCCTTAGCCGCTTTTGCTTGCTGCGCCCCGCTCGCAAAATGTCGGCATGGCCTTCCAAGGCCCTTGCATCCTAATCGTGTCTCCTTATTATACGGGCCGACTGTATGACAGTTGTCGTGGTCAACACCGGACGCGTCGTCGTCAGATTCGTCGTCTTCGAGGCTGTTGCAGCCTTGAACGCGCTCTGTCTTGCAGCAGGTCCGAGCAATCGACGTCCTTTTGTGCGCAGCCGTCTTGCGCCTCGTCATTGTCTCCGCAGTGCTTACAGTAAACCATGATAGTAAGGATGGGGCAACTTTCCAAGGCTACACTTGCATCCTTGCCCCTTCGGTATTCGTCATCCTTCGGCATTCTGCTGCGCTCCGCACGGAAAACGTCAACATGGCGTTTCAAGGCCTTTGCATCCTTACCGCGTATCCTTACTATCCTGGTCGAGTGTATTATGTGGGTTCGTGCGTCCTTATTGTAGAGGCCTCCGGCCCGTGCCGCCGATCCGGGACGATCCCGCTGTCAGAAGGACGCTTTCGCCCCAGCGCGCTTATTCAATCGTAAGTGGTTTGGTAACAGCTTGGAGGCATTGCGTGGGCTTCTTGAGGGGCCTCTACGACGCATCTTCGAGGCCTCCTGTGGGGGCGTCTTGGAGGTGATTGTTGAGCCTCTTGGGGGCTTTGGGCTTCTTGCGGGGCTTGCAGGAGGCATCCTGGAGGCCTCCTGGGGGTGTGTAGGAGATAATTTTTAAGCATTCGGGAACGCTTTTGGGCGCCTTTTGGGGGCCTCTTGAGGGCCACTGGGAGCCTCCGGGGTTTCTTGGGGACTCCTAGGGCCATTTGGTGCCTCCTGGGCGCCTCTTGGGCCGTCTTGGACCCTTCTGGGGCCGTCATGGAGCCCTGTTGGTCGCTCCTTGGGTCCGTCCTGGGGCACGCTTGGGCTGTTTTGGGGGCCTCCTGGGCCGTTTTGGGCCCTTCTTGGGCCGATTTGGGGCCCTCTTGAGAGCCTCTGGGCCTGTTTTCGGGGTCTCTTGGGCCGTGTTGGACAACGCGAAGGCCGAAGAAGCGAAAATGTAAAAACAAAAATCAGTTTTGGGGCATTCTTAGCAGGTGTCGGGAGGGTACGTTGGAGGCTTCTGGAGCCGTCGGGCCCTCTGGGGCCGTCTGGGCGGCCGCTGGGTTTTTTATGAGCCCGCGTACGAGCTCTCCGGGGCGAGGGGCCGACCCGGAGTGAGCTGGAGCTCCGATTTTGCCAGCAAAATTGACTCTGACCCCCCCCCAGCAGAGCTGAAGCTCGAAACTCACACGCCAGATATGCGGATTAGAGGGGTTGACAGTAGTGGTATCGCAGTACAGTCGGAGCGTTGACGAAGAAAATTTGTTCGTTGGGGAGGGGCTCGGTGTTCCGTAGTAACTTTACAGTTTGCCTCAGGTGTTCCTTCGGTTTACGATGGGGAATCGAAGTTGGAGTTGCGGAAAAAAGAGGCCTCGTTCCTAATTTGTCCTTCTTCCAAACTGTATCCTTTTGTCTCCCCCCTTCGATGGCCTGGTGGCTTCCTGGGAGCCTCTGGAGGCCCTCCCTGAGGCCCTCCCTGGGTACCAACAACTCAAAGAGAACCATGGGCCCGAGCCCTTGGTCGGCGGCATGTGCGCGGCCCTGGGGGGGGTGGGGGCCAGGGACGTAACGAAGTAAGAAGCGGCGCCATGAAATCTGAGGAACTATCATGGCCCACGCCATGATATCCACCCCCCCGAGTCATCACCCCCCTCTTGGCCGCCACCGAGTTTGGAGACTAACCATGGGCCAGAGCCCTCTCTGGTGAACAGACGGCTCGGGGCGAAGAGCCGGCCCCGGGAGCGCCCTGGAGGGCGGGGGTCCGTTTCCGTCCGCGCCCTGTTGCTTTCGAGGCGAAGGCCCCCAAACCCTCCCTCCTCCTCCTCCTCCTCCTCCTTTTCCTTTTCCTCCTCCTCCTCCTCGTCCTAATCCTCGTCCTCCTCCTTCTCCTCCTCTTCTCCTTTCCTCCTCCTCCTCCTCCTCCTTCTCCTCCTCCTCCTCCTCTTCCTTATCCTCCTCCTCCTCCTCCTCCTCCGCCTCCTCCTCCTCCTCCTCCTCCTTCTCTTTCTCATTTCCACGCCCCATCCTCCCTGCCCTCCTTCCCACAGCTACTCGACGTGGGTGCTGGTCTCCTCTCTTCCCCGATGCTGCCCAGGGCTGCCGCCGCCTGCCTCGCGCATTGCCTTCACGCGCGCTCGAGGTTTCGTTTCCCAGAATGCCCATGTGTTTTTGCGCTGTGGACGTTCTTGCACTACGGACGTTCTTGGTTTGGTTTCGTTTTTGGTTTCGTTGCACTCGGTTTCGTTCGTTGCACTCGGTTTCGTGTTTGGTTTCCTTGCGCTACGGATATTCCTTGCACTCGGTTTCGTTTTTGATTGGGTCTTGCACTACGGACTTTCGTTGCACTCGGTTTCGTTCTTGGTTTCGTTGCACTGCGGACGTTTTTGGTCTTTCAAACGTCGTGTTCCCGCGGCAACGCTCGCTATACTCTAGGGTCTGTGCTCTGCCCCCGTCGACACAACGGCGCTGCTCCCGTCGAAATACTGGCGCACCCCACCCGGGAGCGTGCGGCTTCGGTCGGCACGGGCCTCTCTGCTCCAGCCTCGAACTCGTGCGCTCGAGCGCCAGCCTCCGCCGCGGCGAGGGCAGGTCGGCGAGGCGAGCCGGCGCTGCGAGTCGGGCGGGGCGCGTCAGTGCGGAATCGTGCGGAAGGGAAGCAGGAGGCGTGTGCATACTCAGCCTGGTGGTGGACAGAACCCCCCCCCTGACACGTCGATTGGTGAACTGTCCGTTTTCGGTTCTCGAGAGGGCGCCGCGGCCGTCATCCTCCAGGCTCGTGCCCGCCAGGTCTGGGCCCGAGGTCGTTTTCACTAAACCACGTTTTGCTCAAGGGGGTTCTGCCCATCCCCGATCAGCGTGCAGGGAGGCGAGGTGGTGCGGAGGGACTGGCGTCAAGTCGAGCCTGTCCCTCTACAGGGGGAATACTCAAAAATAGTCAACGAATAATAGTATGGGCATTATTTTTTGAGTATTTTTTTTATTTTTCGTCGACGAAAATCCCCCTGTAGGGGACAGGCCCGACTTAAGACTGGCGCCAGGCTTTGCAACTACATCCCGAAGTTCATCGCCCAGCTCAAGGCCAGGCGAGCAAAGGACGCCCTCAGGACGCCTCCTCTCCGCCCGGCCCGCACCCGGCCGCCGCCTGCTCGGACTTCTCTGGCCGCTCTGTGTGTCGGCGGCGCGCAGAAGGGCCCGAGCGCGAGCCGGAGCACGGGCACGAGCCCGAGCGCCTGGTCCTGGCCCCCCCTGACTCCGCCCAACGAGACCTTCCCCTGCCCACCCTGGGCCCCCTGAGCCTCTTCCTAGCCTCCAGCACTCCCTGTCCCTCTCTACCCCTCCCCCCCCCCTTCCCTGCGCCTTCGCCCGATCGACAGTCTGCGTCACGCGTCGGCTGGGCCCAATCGCCCGCGGCTGGCTCCCCTTCTGTTGGCATGTTGTCTGCAGCCTAGCTTGCTTCTTGGCTGAAGGGTTGATTCGCAGACTTGCCTCGAGGGAGGAAGCACGGTGACCATGACCAATATCGCGGGCTATTGTCGACGCCGACTTTGGTCATGGTCCACGCCAGCCGTCGCCAATTCGCGAGGCCGATCCACGAATCGACGATGACCAAGATAAGCGATGACCAAGGTCGACGCCGACGTTTACTCCATATTTCATAAGAAAGGGAGGGGGGTCTCATTTCGGGGGGGGTCTCTTCCAGGCTATCTTGGAGGGCCTGGGGGGTCTGGGGACGATGTTTTGGAGGGTTCTCCCACGGGGGGGGGTCTGAAATGGCTTGTCTTGGAGGGTCCAGACCCCCTCCCTTTTATTACGAAATCTGGAGTAAGCGTTCAGTTTCGGTCCTGGTCCTCGTTCTCTTTCCCTCCCTTGCTGGCTGTCTGGAAGGCTGGCGGGTTCGGAGCGCAGACCCACTGTTCTTTACAGTCAAAAACCCTAATAAGGACGCGCGACTGTGCTCAGGGTACCCTCGCGTCCTTGCTCTTCCTTGCTCTTGCGTCCTTGAGGTTTTCGTCGTCCGCCGCCCCCGAAATCCCAACTTCGGTTTCCAAGGGTCTCGCGTCCGTACCGCGCGTCCTTATTGGGGATTTAGGCTGTACAAGGGATCGAGGCCTCGGCAGCGCGGATCCCAAGTTTGGCACGAGGGAGCGCGGCCTCGCGGGCGCCGATGCGCATTTCGTTGCATCGGGGGTGGACAGAACCCCCAACAGCGACACGTCGATTCGTCAACTGTCCGTTTTCGGTTGTCGAGAGGGCGCCGCGGCCGTTATTCTCCAGGCTCGCGCCCGCCAGGTTTTGGCCTCAGGTCGTTTTCACTAAACCACGTTTTACCTAAGGGGGGTCTGTCCATCCCCGATTGCACAAGATCGTGGCCTCTGGCGCGCGGGTCCAGAGCAGTTATTAAGTAACGTGCCCCGAAGTACCCAGACGGTGAGGAAGTGTGGTTCGGGCGTGGTTGGAGGTGACATTCGGGACGAGGGGATTCGCGATTCGCGATTCGCGATCGTTTATTTGCTTATTTTTTTCATATATATATATTATATAATATATATATATATATATATATATATATGGTCGAGGGTTTGGCCCCCCCCCAATGCTAATGCCATCGGCCCCCCCCCCCCCCCTCCGCGCGATGCCCCCCCCCCTGTGGGTGTGGGGGTGGCGTGGTGGGGAGAGGAAGCGGGAGGTTGGAGCAAGGTAGGGAAGAGAGGGCCAAAAACAAGGAGGGAGGGATGGAAAGGCGGATGGGGGGAGGAGGAAAAGGAACATCGTCGTCGACGATGTCTTCACCGTCGTCGCCTCCTTCTGGGTGTGGCGTTGTGTTCCGGTGCTTCAGGGAGCCGGAGAGGACGGTGTCTTCGTCGTCGTCGTCGCCGTCGTCGTCGTCGTCCTCCTCCTCCTCCTCCTCCCCCTCCTCCTCCTCCTCCTGCTCCTCCTCCCTCCTCCTCTCCTCCCTTCCTCCTCCTCCTCCTCCTCCTCCTCCTCCTCCTCCTCCTCCTCCTCCTCCTCCTCCTCCTCCTCCTCCTCCCCCCCATCCACACACCAGGTGGTGACAGACGGGCTGAGGACGGGCCAGGAGTACCACCGCCTTGCAACAGAAGAGGGACGCAAAGATCTCGGTCCGCCGCACCTGCACATCTTCGGGTGTATTATTCCCACGCTCGTGAATATTCAGGGCTTGCCAGAAGATACCAAGGCGATCCTCGAGCCGTTCGAAAAGTTGATGACAGTGATGGACAGAGAGGAGGTGAACGAGCTGGTGCGCTACTTCCGCATCAAGAAGACGTGCAACGAGGGCAACCAGAAGGCCGATCAGGCCAATATTCACATCATGCTGAACCCCATCACGATCAGCCCGTTCATGAGACCTCAGTTGCTGCAGCGTTAGAAGGAGAAGATTGGAGACCAGGCGGACATGCCTCAAGCAACGCTCGCGGAGCTCCGCCTCCACATCATCAAAGGGCTGGTGGCCACAGGAGGCGTCGTGAAGTTGGGGAGTCCACTGCCAGGAGCTCTGGAGAGAGCCGTTCAAGCGTCGGTGCAGGAGCAATCGATTTAGCTGGGCTTCAGAGAATGGCTAGTGCGGGCAGCGAGAGAGCAAAGTCAATATTGAGAGACTTGAAGAGACAGCGTATGGATTGAGGGGTGCTATGTACCGCGCCATGCAGTTCTCATTCAGTACTCAAATGGTGGAACAGATGCGTTTCTCTGCATGGCTTGGATTTGTCTAGCGGTCGGTACTGAGCAGAACTACGCCGACAGTTTGACCTTCTATTGAGCTTGAAGCAGTGTCAACGTGTTGCGAGAATGATATCACTTTATGTTCCAAGCCTTTCGGCAGCAGGAGTCTGGTGAGGGGTGGGGGGAGTGGGGGTGGGAGGATGAGGAGTCTGGAGGGAGGACTTCGCAGCGCGAAGGCACGCGTACCGCAAACTTTCGACGCGGCCCGAAGAGGCTGCTGCACTGCTTTTGTTTCTTTTGGTGGCCCCTGTCCCCGAGGAGCCTCCCCCCGCACCTGTCTTCCCCGAGGTTGAGGTGATGGGCCCAAGTGCTCTTAAGCCTCAGCGTTTTACGAGTTGACCGAATGCGGTGCGCCTTCGTGTTAACGCGGGCTTTGGAAGGCTCGAGATAGGCTATAAAGTCCCG